ACCACCACCACCACCACCACCACTACTACTACTACTACTACTACTACTACTACTACTACTACTACTACTACTACTACTACTACTACTACTACTACTACTGCTGCTGCTGCTGCCGCTGCTGCTGCTGTTGCTGCTGCTGCCGCTACCACTACTACCGCTGCCGCTACTACAGATTTACTACTACTACTACCAATAGTTCAGCAGCCGGAATCCCGGTTCCATGGTCCAAGGCACGGTGTATTACGAGCTATAACGGCCTAGCCAACCCCGTACATGTACTTGTACTGCTACTCGGTGAGTTCGCACTGCAGCTACGTGCTAGTGCTCGTGAATGAGAGATACTCTGTAGATGCGCTGCGGACAAGATGGAAGAGACAGACGGCCAAGACCCGGGGGGGGGGGGGGAGAAGTTGGAACAGTGGTGAGTTCTGCCTCTCTCCATGTCCCGGCTCAGCATGAAACTTGACCAAGAGTACGTTGGGGATGGCTGATCCCCTAAGCGTGGCTGTGTACGAAAGCACTAGAATGTAAGGTCGTAGCCGCGTGAACATATCATGTCAGGTACCACGTAGATACTGACAGTAATAATAATAATATAATAATAGTGATGATAATAATGATAGTACCACACTGGTACCCGTATCATTACCTCTGCGGACTGTACAGGTACCTACGAATACTCTAGCCGTCTCTGTACTTGCTTGTACGGGCAGTATTACTGAGAAGTATTATTAAGATTGCTGGGGGACGAACCATGAGAGTACGAGTACCCGAGTCATTCGTACCGAGAGATTGACGAGCGCCACCAAATTGACGACCCCGTATGGTGCTCGTACTTTTCCGTCACTGTACAGCCGTGCTGATGTACATGCGGATATGATATCGATATTGCTCGTATACATATGTCAAGTCGCTATGTAAGGTCGCCATGAGCCAATCGATGGGCTGTATGAGGAGCGACTTACCATGCCAGTTTCCTCCGCCTGAAAGGCTGCAGCCAGTAGGACATGACACTCCATATTACTTGTATTACTCGTACGAGTATGGAGTAATACTACATATACGTTTCTCGCGAGGTTGGCCGTAAGCAGCAAGAAATTTGTCAAGTAATACGCTTTGCGAGTGTATTTTTGGGACCAAATTCGTTGGTGTCTGGTCCGACCTGCACCGTCCAGGGATTTTCTCATTTCCAAGTTTGTCATTGTTACGATGAACGGTGCATGTATTTACAGGAACGAGCACGGAGTATTATCATGACACTCTTATTAATATCTGTAGCTTAAAACCTTTTTTTTTGTTTTTGTTTTTCTTTGACTTGCTGGCTGTCGTATTCACCGGTTCCTTGTTTACTTCCGCAAAACGCGCGCTGGGGACGCGGTCCGAGAGAGCGACGAGGAATGGAAAGCATTCGAAGCGGCGGCATTGCCCATCTGTCCGTGCTTCAATACTACGGCACAGGGAGGGATGTACTGTTCCACCGCTTCTTGTTCCTGCGCAGAGTCGATAGATGGATACCCATGGTGGGCAGATCTCTGAAAAAGCCCCACGCATGATGAATCTTGGAAAGTGAATCGTGATACACCTCGCAGTCAGCATCAGGCTGGCCACATACTCGTGCTGTAATTATGCGTATCATGATTTGCGCGCACGCACACGTACAGTGGCAGTAAACCGTGACAGGTACCCGTACTCTGTACAGATAATATTACGACTACGAGCGTTACCCGTACAGGCTAGCAGCAGCAGTGCAGATTAGTATCGTGGCAGTAGTCACTTGTGAACAACCGTAATCAGAATCAACAAGACTCGGGAGCAGCTGACTGAGATGGGGAAGAAAAGATGGTTCGGGCCCCCAAGTGCGGATAGACTGATGGACGGCTAAGATGGTACGGTGCATTCCGCGTCGAGGACTGGTATCTTCACAGTGCGTCTGGGACTTCTACCAAGCACGATTACGAGCATTATACGGAGTGATACTGTATCGCGAAGAAGGCAAGAAAAGAAGGAGAAGAGAGATCGAAGGGGGAAGTGGGAGGCCTGTGCGGAGTCCTTCTCCAAAAGGGGGTTAGCGCCAGGAACAAGGAGCGCTATCTCCAAAGACTTGGAAAGGGCGTCTGTTGTGTCTGAGCTGTGAAGCGTCGTTAGTGGACTCTTTTTGTTTTTTTCGACTCTCCGTAGGGCCTTTAGTGGACCGCAGGCTACGGGTGTCTACCCAAACCTGCTGAGCGCACGGCGGGGTGACTTCCATCATACGAGTGGATGGCTCCATCGCGCATAGGGACCTAGGGGATGGGGAGGGGGCAGTACTGAGAGCATGCATTACGCACACACTTGGAAGAAAAAAAAGAAAGGACAGAAATCAAGCATTTGCAATGTGCATGACCATCGTAATAAGAATGATATTGCGGAATGATGGACCGACTGGGGGAGGGACGGGGGAGGGACGGGGGAAGGGGGATGGGATATATTCCCCGAAAGGCTGTTTACTCTGTGCACAGTCCACTGTACGAGTAATCACCTGTACGACTATGGATACACGTAGCGCAGGACGTTGAACATGGCAGGACACATGGGGGATGGGGGGGGATCAAGCCCACGTTCCGTGTAATAGTGTCGGCGCCAATTGCATTTTGAGAGCAGCAACTCGCGATGAATGTCATGTTCAGATACGACTCTGTATGCATATTACAGATTACGAGTACGGGAGATAGATACCGTGCGAGTCACCCGGGTCTCAAGTCACGTCTAAGCCTGAGTCGAATGTACTTGCCGCCTGTCTCACTGATATATACATATATTTCTCCCACCACTCCTCTGCTTCAGGTGAGTTGGGAGGGAAAGCTAAGAGAGGGAAGGGTGAGAGGTAGAGGAGGGTTAGTAGGTATTATGGGAAGACTAGTGACTGCGTCCATCAGCCGTCGCGGCCCCCTCCCCCCCCCCCCCCGTCCTCGTGTCCACCTCATTTCCCAGACATACGCTGCTGAGGGCCTGTGCTTCGGTCCCTCGACCAAAGAACCTCCCCCCCCCCTTGCCATGTATGCGCCGACCCCACAGGGCCCTGGTCGATTTGTTGTCTGCCGAGGGAGCATTTGGACCAGGGGGGCAAGGCCCATTTCTCTCTAGTACTCGTATGCGCGCTCGTTTTTTCTCTCTCTCTCTCCTCCTCTCTTTCTCCTTCTCTCTCCTTTTTCTCTCTCCTTTGCTTTCGTCAAGGTGTTCGTTCGTTAATACTCCTGGATCTTTTCCCCCCTGCCAACTGAGAGTCTCCTCTCTACCACGCTCTTTTCACCAGATCCGCTCGTTCATCCATCACGCTCGCTATATTTCGACTTCTCTTCACTTCTTCCAGAAACAAACTTCAATAGGTGAGTTCTCACACCCCGCGCGCGCGCACGGGAGAGAGGGACTCCTTCGTGGAGTCGGTCAGTCCAGGGGGCTTGGTGAGATGTGGATGCTGGCCTCTATGGAGACGAGACCCTGCGATGCCAAGTGTTTGTCTTCTATACAAAGCTCACTTGGTGGCCCTCTCTCTCTCCTTGCTTGTCGTCCGGTTTCTTATGGAGCATGGCGATCGGGACTGACACCTGAGGAAACAAGCAAAAGACAGATTTCATATCCATCAAGTTTCAACGTCAACATGAGATACTCCGTCACCTACACCGTGGCCGCCACGCTCGTGGCCGGCGCCGCCGCTCACCAGCACGGCCACCAGCAGTTCCACGCCCGCAAGGATGCCTCCCCGGTCGAGAAGCGTGCCCCCGACGCCGTGACGGAGTACGTCGCCGGTCCCACCGAGACCGTCTACGAGCTCAACGGCGAGATCGTGTCTGGCAACGACGTCAAGAACGCCCTCGACAACGGCGAGTACGTCGTCGTCGGCGAGACCTGGCCCACCTTCTCGGCTCCCGCTATCCCTACCACGACTTCCTCCAGCAGCATCGAGATCGCCGCGCAGTTCCTCGAGAAGTCTACCTCGTCCTCCAGCAGCGTTTCGGTCGCCACGACCAGCTCCAGCAGCAGCGTCGCCTCGGCCTCGGCCTCGGCCTCGCCCACGTCGTCCCCCTCCACCGGCGGCTCCGGCATCTCCAGCTCGTTCCCGGATGGAAAGGTCAAGTGCTCCGACTTCCCCTCCGACTACGGTGCCGTCGCCCTCGACTGGCTCGATCTCGGCGGCTGGTCCGGCCTCCAGTTCGTCCCCAACTACTCCGACGGCGATGTGAGCATCAGCGACATCATCACCGGCATCGCGGGCGAGACCTGCAGCAAGGGTAGCATGTGCTCGTACGCCTGCCCTGCCGGCTACCAGAAGACCCAGTGGCCCTCGGCCCAGGGCTCCACCAAGCAGTCCATCGGCGGTCTGTACTGCAACTCGGACGGCTACCTCGAGCTCACCCGCAAGGAGTACGACACCCTCTGCGAGGCCGGTGCCGGCGGCGTCTCCATCCAGAACGACCTCGACGAGGAGGTCGCCACCTGCCGCACTGACTACCCCGGTACCGAGTCCATGGTGGTCCCCGCCGTCGCCGCGCCCGGCGGCACCGTCGAGCTCTGCAACCCCGACCAGGAGAACTACTACACCTGGGACGGCCTCGCCACCTCGGCCCAGTACTACATCAACCCCAAGGGTATCTCCCAGGAGGACGGCTGCGTCTGGAACTCGCCCGTCGCCCCCGACTCTGCCGGCAACTGGGCCCCCCTCATCGCCGGTGTCGGCTACACCTCTGACGGCATCACCTACCTCTCCATCTTCCAGAACCTGCCCACCTCCGACGCCAAGCTCGACTTCAACGTCGAGATCACTGGTGACGTCTCTACCGAGTGCTCCTACATCGACGGACAGTGGACTGGCGGCTCCAGCGGTTGCACCGTAAGTCTCTCCATCCCTCCCTACGTCTTGCTGTCGCTGTTGAACTTGAGTGACTGGTGATGCACATGACTGACCTTACTTCTGACAGACTGCTATGACCAAGGGCGGCAAGGCCGTCTTCCGCTACTTCTAAACGGCGGTCGCTTGACCCTGTGTCGGAATGTGGCGCGATATTAATTACCGGTTTTTTTCTTTTTCTTTTTGGATACGCATTTTGCTTTGTTGAAACTTCTCGGTCGATATTGTTGAAATGAGGATGTCATTTTTTGATACAAGGGGGAGGAGGTTTTTTCTTTCCACAAGTTTTGTCCTTGTATACAAGAAATTGTACGAGGGGGAGAGACGGAGAGACAGTGTGTAGCATCTGTGTTGGGCGCGGAGCATAACCGTTCTCGACTCGTCTGCAACGCCATGTCGAGGGTTTATTTTTATTTTTTTTATCCATTGATTTGAAATTCGTGGTTGGAATCATCATCCGGTGCGTCGTCTCGCTCACGTCTACAGCCTCTCGGGTCCGTGTATCTATACCGAGGGCCGACGGGGAAGCTGTGCGGAGCACTGCCGGATTCCGATGCTGTGACGTTGGCTGGCGTATGCGACGAGGTGATGGACGAGTAGGATTGCTGCAGTGACGGGATGGCGCAAGTATCATTGCATACAAGTACGAAGCAATGCCTCTCAAATCTTTGACCATCCAAGCAGCACACCACACGTCACGGGACAGTCGCGTGACGAGGTAGACAGCCGTTTATTACCGTACGAGTGAGTAGTAGGCTCGAGATCCTAGCAAACTTGAATGATGGATACTGGCGGTGCCTGTCATGGCCTCCATGTCCCCATCTCCTTGCCTGTTCCCATGTTAAATCGACCTTGTATGTAATCTGTATCTGTATCAATATTGGAATGAGTTACGACAGGTAATATGTAGCAATACTAGCTTGTATAGAAGCAAGCCTGATATCCTCGGAGAAGTTTATTCCTGTTCTTTTTTTCTTTTCTCTCCTCCTCCTTCTTCTTTTCCTTGTCGGAACCTGCGAGAGAAATTTTTTTTTTTTAACGAAAGAGAGAGAGAGAGAGAGAGAGAGAGAGAGAGAGAGAGAGAGAGAGAGAGAGA